GCTCCTGGGCAATCGAAACAGTGCTTACATGACGGTCGGACTCGACGATTTCCATTATTTTATCGACATTTTCGACAATTGGCCTTCCAGAGCGTGGTGCGTCCTTGACATCAAAATTACCGGAACGGAATCGACGAAACCAGAATTGCGCGTGATTGGCTGTTACAGTATCAGGACCATAAACACTATTCACATTTTCAGCCGCCTGGCTTGCGTTTTCGCCTTTATCGAAGAAAAACTGTAAAATATGGCGTATTTTCTCTTTGCTGGAGTCCATCTTTGACGCGTACTCAAACAATACTGAGTCAAGCAATCACCAAACTGTCTCAGAAGTTTTTTTAGTACAAAATCTTATTTTTCTAACGCCATTTAGCGTAACCCGATCGCACTTATACAACGCGAGATACAGATTACTAGAGCCATCTATTGGAAAAATAATGGATTTCTTTTTACTACACCTAATATATAATTTACACTTTAGGAAAAAAACGTATTGCAGGAAAGAGTCGTAAAAAATCAATACATTACTTATAAGATATTCATTAATCCAAAAAGAAACGATATCAATATAAAAATTATTTCTTTAAAATGACAAAATAAAAACAACAAGGGTTTGTGTCTATCAAAATAATTACTGTGTGCAGCGATACTTTTTTTATCTATTTTTCGCTAATTCAATGGTTGAATTGATAAAGACACCCGTAGAAAGTAAAGGTACTAATTCGATCTTTGGTCTGAAGTAATTTTTTCAAAATGCATTTTCTGACAGGCTTTATAAGACACAAAGTAGCATTAGATTTAATAGATGTTTTTTAGCAATAAATCTTTTACAGATTCATATATGATATTATTTAAATAATGTTTTTTAACATTAATATATTTAATTGAATATCAATTTATAATGGAATATTAATATTCCATACACACACACAGATAAATGTTATTAGGCATTCGACATTGTGTGTGACCGTTCTACCTTTATTTATCTTTTATCAGAAGAGTTTAGTCTTCGTTTCCTACTAGCCGAGTTGTCATTTCCATTTTATCTACAACATACATAAGACATAGAGAAAAGCGGACTACTGATTTGGTAAGATAAACGATTTGATTATTAAATTATTAAATTCAGGACGCATAATGTATTGATGTGCTAACTCTCGTACTCTTTAAAACTTTTAGAGTGAATGATAATTCTAAAGAGTGTAATCTCACTCTTAAAAATTGAAAATTAAGTAAGATTCCACTCCAAAGAATTTAGACAGTATAATATGTTTATTTGTGCCTTTGTGTGTTATAATTTTCTTTGACGCTATTTTTTTATATGTAAAACCAGTGTAATGACTATAATACTTCCGAATAAATGATAAAGCATAAGATCCATAGAATTCGCCGGAATTAGTAATCGTTTAATTTAAAATTATGTTTAACTTAAGATTACATTAACATCAATAATAATTGAACATATTAATCTATAAACTTTTAATACAATGTACTTTTCTTTTATCAATAATTTTTCAATTTCTCTTCCGCTACATATATCTTTTTTTAATAAAGATATATACATTTGCTTAGTATCATTATATTTCTTAAAATTGCATTACTACCTAATAATGCATTACTACTCAATCCCGTTACTCGTAAAAGTTGAATAAAAATGACATGCTTAGTTAAAAGATGGATACTCGAGATGCGTTAAGTTTAAATCGAATAAATAATGGATTATACGTTCTCAATGTGATTTTATATTTTGACCTTTATTTATATATAATTTAGTTCTATCTGCGTATATTTATTGTTTTATATTGTTAACTAGCATGATTTGGTTCTTTCCCTGTATTTCGTTGCATTATTTAATTTCGATTTTTATCTAATTTCATTGAGTATATAATTTTTGAGTATGTAATATTTTTTATTCAATATTTTGTGGTTGATGAGTGCTGTTGTTGATGAATACTGTAAATTGAAACTATACATATCTATTTTCTGTTTTAAAAACACAAATTTTCGTTTTTAATAATACAAATTTTCTGTTTTAAAACAAACTCTCTGCATTGAAAACACGAATTATTTTCTTACACAATTTAATCATAATTTTATATTTATGAGCAAACTGCAAAAGTACATGTTGGCAATCGAGCTTTGGACAATACTTCATGTAGGCAAACGGTGCTGTAAGCAATTAATTTACTATAAAAAATTGCCTAAAATTCGAACAAAAGCTGAAATTTTATTACAGCCACATTGTCTGAATTTTCTGACAGAATATTGTTTGAATTTTTAACCACAGTTGTCAATTTCTAGCCACGTTTCTGTGAATGACCAGCTGTAGTTGGATGAACATTTCTGTAATGAATTATATGATGTAAATATAGAAATCCATATTGACGAAATCTTTAAATATTAATTTATTGCTAAAATATCCACAGTATTTTTAATGAATATATAAGATTACAACATTATAATTATCGTTTACCTATAAAAATTAATATCCTGACATGAATGTAATTTACGAAGCGTTATGTGTTTCAGACATTATGAAAAATATATTCTTAAGTTTTTAACAGTATAATAAAATACAATTTTTTCCTTTTCTTATGTAATTTTTAAATTTTTTGCGTTATAATATTTTAAATGAGGAATATTGATGTGATGCCATTTAGGCAATGAATTTCCTCGTTGCCAAAATGACATCATACTGAAAAAATCCTCATTTTAAACATTATAATAGCGAAAAAAATTATGAAAAAGTTACATAAGAAAGGGGAAAGGTGCAGTTTATTTGTTGTAAGAAATTTAAGAATATTCTTCATAATTTCTGTAGTTATAAGCCTTTAAGTGAAAAGTGGTGCGATTTCGGCAATCTTACTCTATATTATGCTCTCGTGGTATCCTTATTAATATGTGGAACGCATTATATTGTACACTTAAACGATGCATTCGATTTACGACTAGTGAATACGGAAGCAATGCGTACATTCGTTTCCTGCATTAGTGCAGGTTTACTATTACGTGACTAAATGTAATGTATACGTATATCCTTTACTACGAATCAGATATCTATTACCGTGCACCTTCGTTCGTCGAGCACGTGGAATGCCACGTTTCCATGAACGTCGAGTTCGCGAGTAACCGACATATATTCGCGACTGCAAGTCTCTGATGTGAGTATAACAGTGTGAGATCCATAGTCTTCTAAAATACCTCTTTGCATTAAGATGTAGCCAGAAGATCATTACAATTTATCTCTTTAAAAATTACAAATATATGTAATCATTATTAAACATAATTATAATTAGTTGTTGACGTAAACATAAAAAATCATAAGGTTCTAAAAAAGCTATAGATCTATAGATCGAATTTTTTATCGGGAATAAAGATACTTAACGTTTGGCGATTGACGAATAATAAAGTTTTGCTAGGTTGAATTATAAATATTAATACATTAAAACTTTTAAACATTAAAATAATTTTTTGAGATTTAATAGTAAAAGTTAAAAGATAATTACGTTAATAGAGTTAAATATAGAAATAAATGAAATTGATATGCAATCATATGTACATAAAGTAGAACTGTAACTATAGAGAAACGGACAACTTTCATAAGCTTGAAAAAAAAATCGATGGCATAATGCACAGTATAATGTTTAATTCGCATAGTCAACGATTCGATATAGGCAACGATAGAATTCCGATTGTAAAATTCGAGGTTCGGCATGATTGCAAAAAGAAAACACAGGGAAAAGAGGTACGGTCGAACCACTTTCACGTAACGGTATCGCCATGATTTACGATGTAATGTGAAATTACATAAACCTTGTATGAGAGGTATACTGAATTTCGTGTAGGAGGAAAGAATTTATTATCGTTGTTATTTCTAATCAGATAATTGTCATTTATAAATAGATAATTTCCTTCACAATTAACGTGCTACAATGCTGCATACTACACAATGTGTCCTAAAGATCAAATAATTGATTCTAATTTTGTCTCGAAAATTTTATTAAATCAATCTTACGATTTCTTTTCTTTTTAGTTAATGTTAAATAATTATTTGTATAATGACCTTAAGAACGTATAGTATCTGCTTTTATATATACATATAATGTAATATAAAAATAATTTAAAATGAAATTATTAAAAACAAGTAGGTAAGGAATAAAGCCTCTAACGGTCAAATTGGATCTCAGGCGCTTAGATAATTCGGTATAAATTTATATACTATATATGTGTAGTTATTTAAAATGCGCGCCAAAATGATTTTTCGGTCTTGAAACTCAACACGACTGAACTACTGTAGAATCACAAATTAAATTGATTGATAAAATTAAATTGACTGACTATTTAATAACTTGATGCTCATAAGCATTTTAGAAAAATCTTAATAATATTGAAACATATTAAATCTGTAAATAATTTTATTGTGAAAAATATTACTTCGGCCGTGGAGTGTCCTCAATGTTAAACTATCAAAAATTAATAAATATCAATTCAATAAATATTATATAAAAATAGTTTCATAGAAGAATATTAAATATCTTATTTATATATAATACTATGTTTGTGTATATACAATGAAGTTTATTAAAAAATATTAATATTATCTTTCGAAAAATCTATAATTAATTTATTAATAATAAAATGGTAACATTTTTTCTTGATTAATTGTAATATTCCTTAATAATATTTTTTAATACTAATTTATAATAATTTTCGAACTACCTTAATTTTGATTTTATCTTTTTTTTAAATAGAAATTAAAGCAAAATTATTATCTTATAATTCTCTGTATTTCGCGAGGCATTGTATACGAAAGAGACAAATATGTACTGTGCTGCACTTTAACTTTTCTAATGCCACTGTGCCGATCACTTCCTAGCCCAACTAGCGACGACCAGTTAGTACAAGGCACATTCATTTGTTGAGTTGAGTTACGTGACAACGGGCGGGGGATTTGCACGCGAAAAAAATCGGTTGAAACCCGTCCAACCATGAAAGTTGGTGGTGGCCGACGGTACGGCTCGGTCCGTGACGACTGGGCTCCATATAGAAGTGCGTTCCGACGTGGCCGCCAGTTTCGTCCCGCTGCCCTTCGGATATCGTCGTTCAGCAATCATGAGATTTCTCGTAAGTCTACGCGATCACGATCTTAAAAGCTTCGCGAAGTTCCGCGGCGCGATGCACGCAAGAAGAAAGTGCGATTAAAACCGCTCCGTGGAGCAGCCGACATCTAAGTGCTCGCTTTCTTGCTTTCCAATCTTGCGTTGATCGTAAAATTTCGTTGCAGTTTTATTATTAAGTCTATGTAATCAAAAGAGAAAAAAAAGAGAAGATATAAGCGAAACTTTATCGTTCATTGAACACCGAGTGTTATCTCCACTTTCGAATATAAAAAATTGATAAAGCCCGAACGATGTTTAACACTTTCTTTTTTCCTTTTCTCGCGAAAGCATCGACGTTCGGTATATCAAATTATTGAAGATGTAAAAATAAATCAAAACAAGAAGTTCGGTTATAAATTTGTAATTCTTTTTATTTAACTTAACATTTCGATATGTATAATTTTCTTTGGGAATTATGACCAATTTCCCTAAAATATTCATTACAAATTCCATTATGTTAATTCTATATTTCTATTATATAAATTCTATTCCATTCAGAGACAGTCGAGGTGTTATATTTTACTGATGACAAAAGTTATAAAAACTGTTATCATAACATTATAAAAAGTTATTACAAAATTAATAGCGTCTTTATTTTCTAATTTAAAAATCGTTATATAATCTAAAATATAATCGCCGCGAATTACTTTGCTGTACGCAATCGTCACGCTTCGAAAATGTCGCATTTCATTTTTTCTTATAAGATCAAGCTCTATTGAATAAGTATGCCGTGCTAGTTGAATTTATACCAGATTACATATCTGAATAATTAATTATTTCTCGATGCAAATGGCGCTAATACCTATATGAATAATCAATGTCAGTTCTCTAAGAAATCCTATTTATATCTTGCAAATAAAGATTCTTTAGCATTTTAATATAAGATATTTCTGTTTTACGTTGGAATGTATACAAAATTGCGTACATTCTTCTGACTTTTATTAACATTTACATAAAGAATATCTTAAAGGCCTTGAATTTTTTTGGATACAAAAAGCACTACTATTTAATATATGTTATTGCCTTTCAGTTTTTAATCCTCGTCGTGGCACCCGTGCTGGGAAGGGAATTCCACAGTGAGTAACAAATTTAGTGAACGCTTTAATTTCTCGAGAATATATCTTCTATTCTTTTTGTCGTTAAATAAAAATCAATTTTCTCGTCGACAACAATTTGCATTTGTTCTCAATTGTCTTATGCCTATTCTATTGGGTAAGCGTAGTCGTAAGTGATTGTAGTTGTAAGAATTAACCACGGTCGAATATTCGCCTCAAATTCGACTGTGACTGGTCAATTCTTACAACTACAATCACTTACAACTACGTTTATGCAATTGTGAAATGGACTTCACAGGCCATATTCGCGAACGGCGACAAGCGCAGAACCCCAATTACCGAGCTTACAATCAAGCACCGGCAGCGATCAAGCAGATATTGGCCGCGCAGCAGTATCGCGATCCGATCGTTCATCTTCCGCCGCAACCGGTGCCAAATCTCGCGCCTTCAGGACCCATTGAGCCTCAGTATTTGCAACAAAACCAGCTGTCTCAGTATCGACCGAACGTACAAATAGGTCAGGCGCCTCAGCAGCCAACCTATAAGCAGATTCCCGTAAGACCAGCCCAATACAGTCCGCCGCCCGGCGCCGCAGCCCCTCCACAACAATATAATTCACAATATCATACCAATTATGCACCGCAACCTCTGCCGCAGCAGCAAGCTGTCCAGCCTAATTATCAATATTCTAGAAATCTGCCACCGCAACTTCAGCAGCTCGTACAGATCCAACAAAACCTACCTAATGCGATTCCGAAAGGACAACAAGGATAATCTGTCTAATTAGGGCATCGGGACGATAATATCTATAAGACGTCGTTTCCTTTTTGTAAGAACATCATTCCTCACATATGGTTTCATCCATTGCATTCATCAGATTTTACTAGTGAATTCAGGATCTATTCGTAATCCTCGCTGAAATGCAAAAATACTAATAGCTGCTTATTCTTTTTCGTATATTCTCTAAAATTTTTAGAATGAATATCGCATTGAAGAATGAAATCTTACTTTTGAAAATTGAAAAGAGCCACTTTTTGGTTCAAAATTGGTTCAACTTTTACGTTTCAGAGTGAGATTCCACTCCAAAGAATTTAGAGATATTTTATTATATAAATATTTTTTATGTTAAGTTGTTGAAATGAATTGAGACGAATAAATCGAAAAAAATTAAGTTTTAAATTGCTATTTTTATCTTAATAGTTACAAAAAGAAAAATTAATTTTTGTTAAAAATTATTTTTTATAATAATTTGTGTCATTAATTTTTTGATTTATTTCATATTTTTACATTCATTTAATTCCACTTCATTTCTCTCTCATACATCATTTCATTCATTCCACAATCTCATTCAAATTTTTATACCAATTTATAAATCATACATTGGAAACATGTGTTGTACGAAATTTGTAGGAAGAACATTTGTATAAATAAATTTTATTCGAGTTTCTCGAGCTAAAAATCATACAAATCGTTGTATTATATCAAATCGTTGCTTTAAGATTTTAAGATTACATTGTCATCGTTTATGTCAACTTTGAGACGTATGTTTGTCGTTTAATTATGCACCCCTTTATCGCCCCTTTCAGATCTACCGGCCACTTTCAACCATCGAGACAACCATCGCATTTCTTTAAACTGCATTTGTTCCAATGCATGAATATTAGTCGAAAACATATTTCTCGACAAATGCAATTAGAGAATGCACGTTCTCATACATACTCATAACGCGTAGCATAGCTCAGTCGAGAAATCCGAGGGTATCATCGCACCGATGGTTTCGCACAAGGGGCGTATCTGCACGTCACTCCGGCAGGACAGGCCAGAGAGATCACCCCCTTGTGCGTCACCCCCTTCCCACCGTCATGACGGCGGCCCGTACGAACGAATGCAGTCTTCACTTCACGCACCCCAGAGAGGCGCACGTACCGCAGTCACACCACCCCGCCCTATCCCCTCACTGACGATTCTTACCTCCGTGCATCTCGTGAATGCGTGCCCCCTCGCCGACAAACAGGGAAGAGGATTAGCGAGTCCATTAAAGTCGCGGACTCTATTATCCGGAGGGCACAGCCATGGTGACATCAACCGCTCGTCATTGGCGTAGACTATTTAGACACTTGCGAAAACTCACTGCTTTAGAGCTTATAAATAGAATTTGTTTTTGTATAGTGAGAAAAAATGTAGTAACTTTATTTCTGAACATATTCAAGAATAATTTATTCTTTATTCTAACCATCGTAGAAAATCTATGATAACTATTTTAAATAACTAAAATAACTGTATCTTGAATATTATGTTCTACATATAACCTATGATTTACTTGCATAACAGATTTTATATAATTTAATTTTGTAATTTATCTTATATCACTATTAGTCGTTTATTAATACGGTTGCATTTATATATTTAATAAAATCACGACGGATTAGAATTTTATGATGAAAGTAGCGCACCGATGATTAGATGATTGTTGGAAAACGCGCGGGGAAAGGTCCAGGGAAAAAAATCGACGCCACTGAAAAAGGAGAGGGGGGTCATAGAGGCAAATTACAAAGGGAGGATTACCGGCAGCTGGGCTACCAAGCAACCATGTCTCTTTTGGCTCTCGCGAGCAAGCGGGCCATCCACCGTTCCATTGCTCGAGAGCTCTTTGTCCTTCGACGCATTGGTAACATAATTATCGGAGTTATAGCAAGCCAAAAACCCAAGCCGCATGCAAAAGGGGTGATGAGCGGTTAGACTGTGATACCACGTGTACTTGCGCGCACGTGGAATGCGTCCATTAAGAGATTTATTGACGAAGCAACACACAAACACAAGAGTCGCGTTCAGCGATTTGAGAAATATACTTAAAACGTTTGCTATGTAAAGAATAAAGAAAATATCGAGCTTTCTCTCTGTATAATTTCATATTGTATTTATTGTAAAGATAACATATGTTTGTACTAATGTCCTTTAATTAGCGTTCACTATTAATTTCACTATTGACAATAATTTTCTTGATTATAGTTAACAGTTACTATAGTTAGTAGTAAAGTAAAAATATGTGACCATATATTATATTTTTATTTTAACTGTTAACTATAGTAACTATTAAACAACTTTACAAATTATATAAATGTTATAACGTGTAACATTGCATCGTAACAGTTCACTGTATTATGTATGTGTACGTACATAACTTCAATAAATCTCAATACGTAGTAAAATGTTAAACTAAAGCAAAAAACTAAAAATTCATCGAAACCATTTTCTTTCTTTAAATTTGAACTAGCATTTAATATTCACAAATACGCTAGGATTAATTAGGAAAAAAATACTGCTATAACCGTGTCCTTAATGAAGCCAGCTCATAAAGCGTGATTGGGAAAAAGTGCAATGGCTAGCATTTCATTCGTAGATATAGGTTGCGCAATGGGCTTTATATGGCTTTTGTGTAGCTAATTATGAGGCTAACGCGATATAAATACATACTTTTGTTAGTTGAATCATACGTTTTTAGTCCGCGGATTTCACAACGACTCGGCGGCGTTAACGAGTGTCATGTTTCTTTCGAAGCAATACGAGGAAAAAGAGACAGGAGGTCTATTTTCTCTCTCTCTCTCTCTCTCTCTTTATCCATGAGAAATGTCAACCATTTGAATTCGAAAGTAAAGTAATTCGAATCTATACGAACTGTCTTGAATTCTCTGCGCTTTTAAATTTTTTGATAAATCTTAATTTTTTACAATAATATGTTAAAGCATTAATG